TCCTCTTCCAGCCGCAGAAGAACGTGGTCAGCCACCGCGCGCCCACCAGCCGCTTCGGCAGCACGGCGGCCAGGGCCAGCTCCAGCCCCGGCCAAGGTCAGCGACCGCCCCAAACGCCCTCCGCTGCTCCCTGGGCTGGTGATGGGAGAGGGCAGGGCTGGGGGGCCCTCCCTCCGCACCTACTGCCCACCCTCGGGGTCGGCCTCAACCTCCAGCTTCCTCTCCCCAGGGTCTGGCTCCCAGTTTGTCCCCACCGTTTGCAACGGTCGCGAGGTGGTGGACTCCACAACATCATCGCTTTGAGGACCCCGCACCCCTGCCTCGGCACGGCCGCTCCAGGGACCGGCGCAGACGTGCATCTGGAGCCGGGAGGCAGTTGGCCGGAGCCCTGCACTAACGCCACCCCCGCCTGCCCCCAGCCGCCTGTTGCCCGTCCCTGGCACACTCCAGCTCTCGGGGGAGAAGGCGGGCCTTTGGCCTGGGAGCCTCTGCAGCAGCCACCAGCTGCCCTTGCAGCGTGTCCCCTCTCTGCCAGACCCAGGACTCGGAAGGGAGCAAGCCAGGGTCCACTTGGCCTTGGAACAGGGTGGCTGAGGACTGCCAGCCCAAGCCCCCGTCAGCAAAGGTGCTTCCAGCCCTGTCCCTCCCTCCTTTTAGGGCCTTTTTAATTTTTTAATGTTATTTGAGGATGGGGCGGGGGAGGGGTATTATGGGGGGCAGTCCCTCCCCTGCACAGTAGTTTGTCCTGTGGTTTATTTTGTATTATCTGTAAATAAAGTGTCTTTATTTTAAAAAAATCACCCTCTGCCCTTGACGCGGTGAGGCCCCTGGCACCAGCCACGGCCTCCCAGCCTTCATGTTGCCATTTTGTTGCCCCTGCTCTGTGCCTGCTCCCCACCCGACTCCAAGACCTGGTGGCCGCGAGGCCCAGGCCCAGCCCTGCCTGGTGGGAGAGACAGGAAACGAATAAGCCAGCCTCTCTTAAACGGAGCCACCACAGCCGAGCCCAGGCTCCCCCAGGGGAGGGGGCAAGGCAGCAGGGTTCCCCGGGCCCAGCTCCCCTGGCTTCCAGGGGCAGGGCCAGGAGGGGCAGCGGCTGTGCAGCAGGAACAGCGGGCTTCGCGCCGGCCAGCCTGCCTGGCACGCGGAGGAGCCGTGGGTCAGCGCAGAGGCAGGCTGAGCGTTGGGGATGAGGAAACCGAGAGGAAGGGGGGGCGTGGAACAGCGCCTGTTCCCGGGGCGCGCCCAAAGCCAGGGAGAGCTGGCGAGGAGGGGCGAAGTGAGCGGTGCGGGGCCAGGCTGGGCGGTGGGAGAGGCCACCCGCCGCGGCCGACGGCCAGAGGTGGGGAGAGGGCCTTTCTGCGGTCCCTGGGGGAGCGCTGGCCTGGCGGCAGGTGGGGCCCTGGAGCGGGGCCGCCCTTGGGTGTCCCCTGTGTGCACAGTCGGGGGCTCACCAGCGGAAGGCGCAGAGGCACAGTCTCGGCCCCAGGGCTCAGCCAGGGGACCGCTGCCCTCCTGTGGCCTTCGGAGCACTAGGCACAGGACCCACACAGGAGCAGAAGCAGCTGGAGGCTTCGGGGGCCCTCGGACAAGGTCCTTCGTGAGCTGGGAGATGGGCAGGCCAGGGACATTAATCATTTTTAAGTGAACTCTTTTACATGATAGGCAGGCGAGTCTGTGGACATTTGGGTTGACAATTTGAAAAATGAAAACAAAACCGAAAAAAAAGGCAATGGCAGGAATGGCTCTTCCTCTCCAGCCAATACTCGGGGTGTAGGGGTGCCAATTAAATTTGAATGTCACATAAACAGTGAATAATTTTTTCATCTCAGTATGTCCCACCACTAATTGGGACACACTTAGACAAAACAGTTTTGCCGTTTAGCTGACATTCACATTTCAGTGGGCGCGCTGTGTTTTCACTCGCTGATTCTGGCAGCCCTACGGGGCGTCCACGTTCCAGACCTCCGGCCGCGGACGGCACAGGCGGGGGCTGCGCCCCAGGGGCCTGCAGGGCTGTTCTCAGTCCCAGCCCCATGACAGGCCACCTGGAAAGCCACCTCCCTTCGCATGGCTCGGCGGTATTTTCCTTAAGGTGTAATAAGTTCTAGAAAGGTGGCACTGAACGCGGCTCACAGCTAATAAGGCACAAAGGGCATTCAGTGAAGCATCCTCTGCCTCTCCGCCACCACCAGAGGGGCCCCGGGCCCTGGACGGAGCTTTGTCCCCGCAGCTGCTTTCACACCAGGGCACTCTGTCCATTCTTCCCACCTCCCCTCCTGGTGGTGGCGGGGGCAGGGAGCGTGGGAAACTGAGAGGAAAGGAGCGGTCACTGAGGGTCTCCAAGCCCCTCTGACAATGTCCCAACCCCAGCCCCCTGCAGAAAGAGGAAAGGAGCCTGCCACCACTGCCTGGGCCGGCGGGGCTTCGTGCCACAGCCTGGGCCGGCGGGGGTGGGGGGGTATCGGGGGAGCAGGAGCGGGGGCGGGGCAGGGGGAAACAAAGGCTGCGAGGGGGAAAAGGGGAGAGGAAGTGAGGGAGAAAATGCCCGCGGAAGCTTTGAGCCCCGGGGTCTCACCACGCGTCAGGGTTGGTTTTGGTGGGTTTGGTTTTTTTTAGGAAAAATTTTTTTTATCCTTTCTGTAAAAACAACATGCTCCTTATAAACAGTTTAAGGGATACAGCAAAGTACAAAAGAAAATAAAAGCATCACCTGCAAAGTACAAACAGGAAATTAAAGTATTATCTCAAATTTCCTCATTCAAATATAATGATCATTAACATGTCTGGTGCAGCGTCCTAGACAGATTTCTATGCATTTTTACAGATAGAAGGAGAGATAGAAATACTTCCATTAAAATGGGATCATGCCATATGTCTTTTTTTTTTTTTTTAGTGGAGACGATTTAATTTTACTTGATTCTAACTGAAGAAAATGAATGTGATGAAACTGAAGAAATTCTTGAGCTTCGCATACATTTCATCACCCAAAAGACAGCTTCCCCTGCCCCGCAGGAGCCCTGCCAGTTTAAGGAAAGAGACAAAGTGACATTTGGGTGTCAACATTCCTTTACTCCCAGGGAATCATTGTCAACATCCTCGCCCACGAACTGGAGGAGGGTGACAATCCAAGCCCTTCGGGGGACACCTCCCCCTCAGTCCTGCGGCCCGGGGCCTGTCTCCCCTGTCACTTGTGTACGTGCCCAGCCACAGCGCCAGGCGGACAGCCCCAGGTGCCGGGGGCTTCTCTGGCTAATGTATTCGCAGGTGGCCCCTAGTCCTTCTACTTCAGCCTCTCGGTTCCCGAGCTCTGAGCTTCCTGTGTAGCTGGGACCGTCTCCCTGGCCTGTCCCCACCCCCACCCTTTTCCATCCTCGGAGCCCGGAGGCTCACCCATCGGCTGGCAGCACCCCTGGCCTGCCCAGGCCAGTCCTGGTTTGCATCTCCATCACCAGGTGGGACCCCTGGGCCTCAGGGGGTGTGACCTGGGCTGGGAAGGGCTTAGCTCAGTGGTTTCCAAACCCTGACTACACACTGAGCTCCAGCACATGGCCTCTCCCCGGGCCAATCACAGCAGGACCCCTAGGTAGGCCCAGCACGGGCACTTCCTGCGTCCCATGGGGTTCCAGCGTCCCACGGGGGTCGAGGATCAGAGACTCAAACCCTGGCTGGCCCAGTGTTCACTCCCCCTCCAGGGCGGGCGTGGCGCCTACTGGGCTGGCCAGGCGGACCCCCTGCCACGCTCAGCACGCAGACCTCTCCCGCCAGTGTGCTGCCGCTCGCTGCTTCCAGGAGGGGAGCGAGAGCTGCGCCTGGGGCTCCCGAGGGGGCCCCTTGGAGGAATGGGCGTCTGGCTGCGTCCCTGCCACCTGCAGCTACTGGAGGCAGTGGGTGTGGGACTCACCCCTGAATCCACACCTGCCCCAGCTGTTCCGGAGACGCTCTCCCCTGAACCCCAAACACACACACGCGCACATGTGCATGTATGTAACACACATGCACGCCGCCCAGGGCAGGGAAAGCCTGACCCAGCCTTGAGGACCGCGGAGACCTCGGGCCCCAGCGCACCGCCCCCGACCCCCACCCTCTGTGCCCGAGCGGCCATGGCAAATCCCAGGGGGGTCCTGGACCTCCGGCTTCTGAGATGCAAGTTCAGAGACAAATATCCAAGGGACACAGGCTGAGCGCGAGGGACCTTGGGCATGGACGACAAAGCAGAGACTGTGACAAGTCAGGTACAGAGATGGTTGAGCCGTGGATGCAAGAGACAGCAGGAGGCTCCGCAGAGCAGGGACCCCCAGCACCCCCAGGGCCAGCAGAGGGCGGGGCCATCCGCGCTGGTCTGGGGAAGGAGAGGCCATCTTGGGGGCCGGCAGAGCTGTTCAGAGGAGTGGGAGGATTCGAAGGCCCCATCCTCAAACCAGTGACTTCCAAGGGCAGAGGGTTGGCCCCTGCCCTACCCACCTGCTGCTCTCTGCTTGGTGGCCCCTCTCTCTCCCCATCCCCCATGCCTGGTTCTCCCAGGCAGCAGCCAGGAGGGGGCAGGAAGGCTCCTCTCTCAGCCCCTTGGGGGGGGGGGCTGCGGGCACAGGGAGCTGCCCTGGCCCCGCCTTGGGGGGGCTGGCAGTCCCCACGAGGGAGGGCAACTGTCCTGCTGTTACTCCGCTGGGGCACCCCCTCCTCCTGACCCTGGCCTCCTGGCTGCAGCCAGACCCTCTGGTGACTCCCAGGTGGGGAAGGAGCTGGGGTCAGGCGGCTGAGGTGTCAGGGCCTGATCTGGGCCCTGGGGGGTCTCTTTTCAGCACAAGATCCTTCAGGTTCGCCTGAGGGCGGATTGCTCTGAGCGGGCTCTGAACCCCGCGGGGAACCATTTTGGGGCGGAAGGCAGGAAAGTCAGCGGCCAATCGCTTTCTATGGGTCTCATTCCCAAAGGGCAAGACTGGGGTGAGTCAGCATCTTTATCGGAAGAGAGATCCAGCCTCCTCGGCTCTGCCGGCGCCCTAGGCCAAGAGGATTTCGATGTCCAGCTCCAGCCGCCTGGCCTTGACCTCATAGCAGCCCCGGATCAGGCCCCGGGTCTGGCTGGCATGCCAGCGCCAGTGAGACTGGATAACGCAGGCGGCCTGGCGCGCCTGCAGGAACCGCCTGCGGGCCTGCCACATCCGGACCTGGGCCTGCACCTTCACCACGGCCCACTCCTGGCAGGTGTAGAGCCTCAGCGCCAGGCGGCGCCGCTGCTCCAGCATCTTGGCCTGCACCGACCTCCACCAGCACTGGATGGCCCAGGCCCGCAGCGCCTCGTGCAGCAGAGTCTGGCGCACCGCGCTGCCCCGCCACCATGCTTGGATCTTCACGGCTGCCTTCTCCAACTGCCCCGGGAAGAAAGAACACGGAGGTGACTGGCGACGGGCCCTCGTATTTCTGCCCCCACCTCCGGTGCGGGCTGGAGAGGGGCCGGGCCTGTAGAGCCCCCGCCCATCTTATTCTAGGTCCCGCCCTCTCACCCTAGGCCCCGCCCATCTCATTCTCGCCCCAGGACTCACCTTGAGACACTGCTCGTCGTCCTCTGGGCAGACCCCGCCTGTCCTGGCCTCGCTCACTCTGTGTGTGTCCATGGCCCTGGTCTTCCGAGTGCGCTCCCCTCCTGTCAGTGGGGTGACCCCAGCCTGCAGCCCCGCCCTCAACTGTTAGTCACCCCTCACTGGCTCCGCCCACCGGCTCGCTGGCTCCCCTGGGCAGGTGGGAGCCGACCGCACTTCGGCCACCTCTCCCCTCCTGCTGCATTTCCTCTCTCATGGACCAGTCACCTTATGATGGATTCCCATCGTTTGAGGGGCCTGACGTCTTCTCGTGCCTTCAGGCCCAGCTAGTAACTTAAGTCCTGATTGTTCTCCACCTTCCAGTCCACAGACATGCAGTTCCTGCTGGTGGCAGCGAAGCTGCCTCTGAGTGAGGGCTTTTACTTCGGGAACACGCGCAGCCGGTGTGGATTCCAGCAGCTTCCACAGGGGCCGCTTGTCCGTCCAGGGGCGGGCTGCTTCTGTGCAAGGCGTGTGAACGCAAGATGCCAGAGCCGCAGTTGGAGTGGGGATCTTGTGCGCCCCCCACTCCTCCTTGGGCTCCCTGCTGCCCTCTGGTTTCGGGGGCAATAGCTGCAGCCTCTTGGGGGCCCGGGCTCAAGCAAAGCAGAGGGCAGATGCACTCAGGTGAGTTCACGGGGAGATTTACGGGGCTCGCGGCGCCCCTGGGAGTAGGCTCATCCTCACTGGCCGTTTGGCTAGAAATGGGGTCAAGAACAGGTCCTGCCTGGGGCGCAGCTACTCACTGGTGTCATGGGGACAGACATGCTGCTGTGGCCACAGGGACGTGGCCTGCAGTGCCCGGCACCAGGAGTTTATGGCAGGGGAGGAAAAGTAAGATTTGGAAAGTGTGGAGACAAAAGCGGGTCTGGGTCAGAGGCCCAGGCACGGCTGCGGCTGCGCTGCAGGTGGGGGCCCCACAGGCCGGGCCTCCCCCGGGGCTCGCGAGGCCCCTCTGGCTCCGGCTTTAGCACGCGTGTTGTCGCGCCGTTTTCTGCTGGGCTTTTCCGGGTGCCCAGTGCCTGGGGGGCCCACCCTGTCCCACTGTCGAGGCCATCGGGGTGTCTCCCACGGAGGCCCCATTGTCAACGTGTTAAAAGCCCTCCAGAGCTGAGGAACCCTAGCGCTTCCTTTCCTGGCTGTCACTCTGGTGAGCAGGGTGCGCGCATCTCAAAGACCTCCTCCAGTGAGTCAACCCTCGGTCCTGGGGTCCCCGCCTCCACTCCCAGCCCCTCCTGCTAGATTCCGCAGAAGGGACCACTTCAGAGGGGACTGAACGTGGTCCGCCCTCTGAGGCTCCGTCCATCCAGGCCGGGTTGCCGCGGTCAAGGTCAAGAGGCCAGGTCCCGCTGTTCCTTGCCGATCTCTTCAGTCCCCCTCCCTGGCCTGGCTGGCGGTGGCCATATGATCCTGGCTCTGTCTCCTTCTTGGACGCCCTGGAAGCGTCTGCCGGCTCCTGTTCCTGCTGTTGGTCCCCAAGTGGCAGCAGCGGGGCGGGGTACGGGAACACCTGAGCCCGCCAAGCTGTCACAGGCGCACCCCTGGTCTCCGTGCCCTCACCCCTCCTCTCCCCGGTTCTCTTTTCTTACTGGTTGGTTTTTTTTTTCTGATTATAAATTCTCCACATCTGTTGCTGACATTTTAAATAATGCAGAAACGTGCAGGGAGAAAGGGGAATGTCTCCTGCTCCTCCAGCACTTAAGCCAGGCACCAACTGACTAAAATTTTTGATTAAAAACAATTGCTATTTAATTCATACATTCTGAACTAAAAATTCCCTTGGCAATTAATGTTTTCTTCCCTACATTATTCCTGCTCCCAGCTTGGAGGGTACCGTGGTCAGTTAGCTGTGTATTTACACACATAGCACATCTGGGTACCGAAGGAAATAGAAAACTGCTTTGTGTTTCTGTTTCTTTTAAAGCTGATTGAGGTGGCCCTGGCTGGGTGTCTGGGTTGGATGGACCGTCACCTCACCCACCAAAAGCGTGCGGGTTTGATCTCCCATCAGGACACATACCGAGGTGGTGGGTTCGAACCCCAGTCAGAAATCAAATCGATGTTTCTCTCCCCTCCCACACACATGCTTTGTCTTTCTCTTAAATCGATAAAACATATCTCCGGGTTAGGATTTTTAAAAATTAAAAATGAGGTAAAAATCATATAACATAAAAGTGACCATTTCGCCGTTTAAAGCGTACAATTCAGTGTGTTCGGTACAGTCGCAATGTGGCACAGCAGGCACCCTCTCTAATTCCCGTTTCTATTTTCCCCTCGTTTTAATTCTAATTTTATTACCCCCAAAGAAACCCTCCCCTCAAGGCCCTGGCACCCAGGAATGTGATTCCGGTCTCTAAGGAGTTGCCTATTCTGGACATTTCACATAAATGCAGTTACATAATAATGCGGTGCTTTGTGTCCGGCCCCTTTCACTTAGCATGTTTTCAAAGTTGACCCATGTTGTAAGCATGTACCCATACTTTCTTCCCCTTTGTGGCCACATTCCATTTTCTGGATTTTCTATTGTCCGACAGCCCATGGTCGGGACACACACCACGCTGTGCTTACGTATTCCTGAGCTGACAAACACTTGTTTTCACTCTTTGGCGACTGTGAGTAGCGCGTCCATGAGCGCACGTTTGCGCGCCGGAAGGCTGTGTGCCTCGGGGCGGAATGCGGGCCGTGTGATGGCCCGGCGGAAGTTTCTGAGGACCCCCCGAGCTACCTTCCGTGGCAGTGGAGCCATTTTACATTCCACGCATCTCCACATGCTCGCACCCCGCAGTTTTGCTAAGAGTGAATACGGAGAGCTTTACAAGGCTCTGTGTTCCCACGTGTTTGCACTTCAGTTCTCTTTCTTGCTTAACTTCCTGGCTAAGACTTCAGCACTCAGCAGGTGCTTCTAGATCAGTCCGTGGGCCACATCCCTGCCTCTCCCACCTGTCTCAGTGCTGTCCCTTGTCAGAGAGGCTCTGTCCCCACAGTGCCCAGGTCCTCTTCACAAGGTGTTAGTCCGCACGCAGACTCGGCCTGGGTGGAGACAGCATGGCCCGGGTCCTCCTGCACAGCCACGCTGCCGTTTACTCCCCTAGCTGGTCTTTTGTAAAATCAGTGGATAACTTTCCATTGTCAGGACGTGGAATCTGTCACCTCCCGAAGGACAGCGTGGCTGCTGCCCCATGTGGGCGGCTGTGAACAGAGCTGCTCTGAACATCCATGTGCAGGTTTTTGGACAGAGTTTTCAGGTCCTCTGGGTAAGTCCCTGGGAGCGCGATTGCCGGATGGCCGGGTAAAGGTGTTTGATTTTTAAGAGTCTGCCAAAGCGACTCGCGAGGTGGTTGTGCCGCTGTGCGTTCCCGCCAGTGAGTGAGCGCTGTTCCCTCGTCCTCGCCAGTGTCTCCTGGTGGTCGTGGTCTGGATTTCAATCATTCTAACAGGAGTGGAGTGGCATCTCCCCGTCGCTGTGATTTCTGTTTTCCTGAGAACATGTGACATGGAGCATATTTTTCGTATGCATCTGTATATCTTTAGCAAGGTGTTTGCTAAAGTCTTTGGCCTACTTTTCAGTTGCGTGGTTTGCTCGCGGTTTTTAAAATAAAGAATTTTATTAAATATCTTTCTTTTTAGAACTGCAGAGAGGATTCCATGGTTTTCCTCTTCGGTCTGTTAATATGACAGCTTTCATTGTTAGGTCCGTGTTTTTATTGTGGAGACCTCACAGTGGTGGGCCTTGGCCATATTCCAGACGACCTGGCACCGGAGTCCCTTCTCCATATTTGGGGACTACCCTTCTTATCTGTCTTGGTATCTAATTATAGAGCTGAAAAATGCCAGTTTCCCCGGCTGCTGGGGAGACATGTGACCAGGATTGGCCAATCAAATGTACCCACTAGGGGTTTTTAATCTGCAGTTTGGGATTCCGGGCAGCCATTCCTCGTGCCAGGGGTGGGACCTTCCTCGGCAGGTTCTGTGGAGTGGCGTTTCCTACGGTCCTGAGTGTGTAGCTTCTTCTTCCCTGCCTGTTTCTGAGCCTCGTCCTCAAGACTTCCTGGAAACCTGGGGAGCCACTAACTATTCCTACACTGCTTTTATTTTCCAGTTATGTGGCTGTGAATCAGCTTGCGTTGTTTGTAGTGGAGCATGGCGGCCAATGCCCTTGCCCTCGGGAGATAGATCCTTCTTGTTAAGTATTATTTGAAACCGTCACTGAATTCAGTTTGTTAAAACTTGCATCAGGGACCCTGGCTGGTGTGGCTCAGTGGATTGAGTGCAGGACTGTAAACCAACAGGTAGCTGGTTTGATTCCCAGTCCGGGCACGTGCCTGGGTTGCGGGCCAGGTCCCCAGGAGGGGGTGTGTGAGAGGCAAACACACATTGATATTTCTCTCTCCCTCTTTCTCCATCCCTTTCCCTCCAAAAACAAAAAAATAAAATCTTGAAGGAAAAAAAAAAAGCAAACAAACTTGCATCTGAGTTCATTTGTCATGGTTTTCTCTTGTCCTGACGGAATCTAAGTTTGGTGTCAAGTGGGTGCTAACTTTTGGGAATATTTCAGTAGGAAAAATTCCCGGAGCAGAACTGCTATACCGAGGGTCTGTGCATTTGCAGTTCCGATGGGTACTGTCAAACCGTTACTCAGAGGTTTTGCCAGTTTACATTCTGATCAATAACGTACAATACTGCCTGTTCCTCTTCACCCTTCACACAGACCACCTGTCAGCTCCAGTATCCCTTTAATTATTTCTCCCGTGAGTTAAGCATCTTTGCATATGTTCGGGACCCTCTTTTTCCTGCTGTTACTTTTTCTATCAACTGTCTCTTTGCTTGGCCTGGATGGTTGGATTTCTTTTTACTTGAAGGCTGTCCTGGTTTCACTCTTTGTCCTACAGTATCTTCTGGTCCAGATGTAAGCTGTGCTCCCTTTGGTACTGACTTGAATGGCTGCTGAAACTGGCAAAGACCGTCACAAAGACCTGCAACTTGGAGGGAACTGGCGGTGCTGGCTCTCACTCAATGCAGGACACGTGGTTTCCAGTTGTTCCCACCGGTCATGCCAAGGTTTGCATTGAAATCTGGCTAAAATTTTTCCTGTGCCCCAGTGACAGTCAGCTAGCTAGCCTACAAACACATCAGAAGGTGTTGCATTTTTATATTTTTAACAAATGGATTTAAAACCAATACAACTGGAATAAGTAAGAAGTAGGTGAGGAAATGACATTTCCAAAGTTTTAAATGTTCAGCTCTAAGAGGCTTTATGAGTGAAGCACATTTCCTTTTGGCAACAAAATCGCATAAAGAAGGAAGCGTTTCAAAACATCTGTTTTCTAAAAGCTTCTTCCGTTGTTCCTATTTTCACTGATAAGGAGCTCCCTCTAGAGGCAGGAGATACGTCAGCACCAGGGTGTCTTGGTTGCTTCTGCTTGCAAATCCGTAACGTTTCAGTCCAGGGTTTTTTGCAGGAATCTTTTCCGTTTACCATGACTTTTTCTGTGCGATCCATAAAGGACCTTTGTCAGTTCACAGAAACAGGTGGCCATCTGTCCCAATCCCTCCAATTCGTGGAAAGCACTCTTTGTGTGGGTTTGTGACCTCCCTGCATGTGGGGACTTGGCCTCTTTGCTTTCACAAATGCCTGTCATGGTACCTGGTGCACAGCAGGGGCTCAATGGTTGTTGGGTGAAAGGAGGAACCTCCGAACAGAAATCCCCAGCTTAGTGTTGCCTGAGATGCGTGACCAGGCGCTGTGGCCACGCCCTGCTCCCATGAACTTCACACTGACACCCCCACAGCCTTAAGCAGTCTCATTGCCCTCTCTACTTCCCCCCGTAACCCTGCACTGGCCTCGCCTGTCCCCACCCCCCATACCGCACACGTGCTCCTCCGGGACCCCTGGGGCAGAGACCCAGGGAGAACAGGGCCCCACGACGGCCCTGGCCTTGTCCAGGGCCCTTCCGCTCAGCACTGACCTCGGGGGCCAGGAGCAGGGGCTGCGCCTCACCTGTCTCCTGGCCGTGCCCTTGAGGCCCTCGGGGCAAGAGGAGGGCAGGAGGGAGCTTGAAGCCCCTCGGGCCTGCGCTGGGGGCCCTGGCTGGCCCTGGGGGTCCACACTCCCAAGAGGCCACCTGGGTATCTGGCTGATGGGCCAGACGCAGGATTCAACCAGGCCATGTTCTCTGCCCCCAATCCCGCGGTCCTCTGCAAGGTAATCACGGTTACGTATTTACAGTACATGTCTCCATGAGCCCCTCCCCCCTTTTAAAAATAATGCCTTTATACCACATACATATAAACATGTACCTAGAAAGGGGCCATGCCGTCCTTCAGAGTGTCTCACATATTCCATGTCACTACACAGAACAAACACGTTCTTTCTGGTTTCATTAAGTGCTTCTTAATAAATGAGTTTAATGAGTTTTCACAATTCTATATTTTTCCCCAGGAAACACAACCCAAAACAAAATAAAGCACATTTCTCCTTGTTTCTTGGTGCTGTTTGCAAACAACCCCTCTTATACTTCCATAAGAAGTATACAACCCCTGGATGTAAACTCTACTTGGAATTATCTTACCTGTAGTTTAGTTTTGCCTGTTCTAGAATTTTCTATGAGTGGACTCATCCTATAAGGACTCTGTTGTGTCTGGCTTCTTTCACTTAGCATAAGGTGTTTGGGATTCATCTGTGGTATTGTGTGTATCCATAGACTGTTCATTTTTATTATCATGTATTATTTCATTCTATGAGTAGTCCACAGTTTCTTTGTCTAGTTACCTGCTGGTGAATATTCGCGTTGTTTCCAACTTTGACCTATTTCAATGAAGTTGTAATGAGCAAGCAACCGTGAGCAAAGCTTCTGTAGACACGTGTTTTCACTTTTCTTGGGAAAATGCTGAGAGCAGAACTGCTGAGTCATAGGGTGGGTAGCCGCCTACCCAGATCGGAACCTCCCGGCCATTGTTCAAAGGTCTCTCCTGTTCCGCGCTGCCTGCCGGCGGTGAGAAGGCCCAGGTGTTCCGGATCCTTGGCAATAGGCTGGTGTTGTATTTCTTATTCCAGCCATTCTCTAGTGCGCTTAGACATAAGGCATGTGGTTCTCATTTTTATTTTCCTCATGACTAATGATGTTGGACATTTTCTCATCTGCTTCTGAACCATTTGTTTAAGAATTTGGTTCCAGCCCTGACCAGTGTGACTCAGTGGGTTGGGCATCGTCCCTCAAAAGTGAAAGGTCACCGGTTCAATACCTGGTCAGGGCGCATGCCTGGGTTGCAGTTTCGATCCCCAGGTGGCAGCGTGCGAGAGGCAGTCGGTCGATGTTTCTCTCTCTCTCTTTCTCCCTCCCTTTCTCCCCCCTTCCCCTCTCTCCAAAAATAAAGAAATAAAATCTTTGTAAAAAAGAATTTGGTTCCTAACTCATTCTTTCTAATCATCTGGTTCCACTGTTTAACTGAAGTCCATGTAAATGAATTTCCTATTGATGGTGTTTAAATTCTCACGTTCATATATTTCTCGACCAGACTGGAAGGACTGACTTTTTCTGCCTCTGCGCCAATGGGCTAATGTTCCTGGACTCTTGCGCCTCCTTAGCCAAGGGCATTCATGGCAGTTTCACATTTTTACCAGAAAGGACTCAACTATTGGGAGGTCTCCTGGTCACAGGTGCCCTTATGACATCACAGCTCTCCCCACCTGCTCTCTTTCTGCCTGAGCCTCGGTGGGAGGAGCACAGATCTGAAGGGAATGGAGTCACCAAGCTCCTAACTATGGACAATCTAAGGGATGAAAGACCTGAGGGGATTTGAACCATCTATTTCCATGCCACGTGCATCAGATACTGTGTAAGAACAGCCAGTCCACCTGGGTGCTGGCGAGGAGGGCAGATTTCCAGTTTCCCCGGGAGCCATCCTGCACCTGGGGACTCCGGGCAAGGCAGGTGGCGGAGAGCGCGGAGCTCATGGCTCACAGGTGGACAGAGGACAGCCTACACTTGCGTTTCTCCCTCTGATTACAGGGTGGGCAGTCTGCTGAAATGTTAGAAGAGTCTGAAGTCATGGTGCTGAAACCGGAAGAGGATAAGCCTCCAACCCCACCACCCCCTCGACCCCCACCACCCCCTCCACCAAAGGTAGGTCTCTGGAGGCCCTCCCCATTGAGAGTGGGGCGACCCCAGCTTGTACCCGCTCTGACCCGACTCGCCTAGCGGTAACAGGCTAGCTGCCCTGAGGCCTAGAGTACAGGATGGCCCCAGAACGTGCCATCCAAACCAGCACGCATCTGTCCGCGAAAGGCAGTGCTCTGAACTATGGAGCAGGAACAACCGTCTTAAACTGAGTCTGGCCGGGGCCCGCCAGGCTGAGGGGCCGTCCTCCCCAGAGCTGCTAGGACAGCGACGGACTCATCGCTCGCCCTCCTCTCCTTACGCCTTCTGGGCCCAAGAAGGGTGGGGCCTGAGACCCGGAGCCTCAGAGGGAAGAGAAACCCTGGCAACTGGGAGTCCCACTGTGCGGACTTGGGGAGTGGGGTGGGGCGGGCCAGGAGGCGGGAGGCATGGCCAAGTAAGAGGGGAACCCAAACCCAGAATCCTGTGGGAGTCCGTGTGCGTGTGCACGTGTGTGCTTGACTAAGGTGTGAGAACCAAAAGAGATGAACGTGAGAAGCTAACGAGAGAGACTCCAAACTGCATGACTGGACAGAGAGAGACAGGAGGTTGGACAGGGAGCTGGAATGAGGCGTGAGGGGCAAGCCAAGGGTGCCCTGTCTCCAGCCTGCGGCTGGACTCCACTGGGAAGCCATGCGCACCCAGGGAGGTGGTCAGGCCCAGGAGGAACGTGAGAGCCCTCTGACCCAGAGACCATGGCGTGCGCTCTCCAGACTGGCCAGCCAGGTTCACGGACCCGGCGGAGACGAGGCAGGTATGCCGCGTATGACAGACGGGAGCCTGAGGCTCCGAGCGCAGCGTGAGAGGCCCGTGTCCGTTAACCAGGAGCGGCGGAGGCCGGACACCTCTCTGTTCTCTGGCCCCAGCAGTGCCAGACCCGGTGTCCCTGAGCTTCTGAAGAGGGGCCGTTACTAGAAGGGGTCAGGCCCCCTTCCGGGCACACCCTGGGGCGGAGGCGAGTGAGAAACGTGGCCTGAGCGCCCCTTCTTTTTCCCATCTCCCTCCGCCCCAGCCCAAAAAGAAGCCCCCTGATGCAGAGAAGAAAGCCATAAAGATCCAGTCCTGGTGGCGGGGCACCCTGGTGCGCCGGACGCTGCTGCACGCGGCGCTCAGAGCCGCCATCATTCAGCGCTGGTGGAGGCAGGTGCTCGCCAAGCAGCTGGAGCGGCGGCGGGGGGCGTTGCTCGACGCCTACGTGCGCAGGGAGTGGGCGGCCGTCAGGCTGCAGGCCTGGGTGCGCATGTGGCGCGTGCGCCTCCGCTACTGCCGCCTGCTCCACGCGGCCCGCATCATCCAGGCGTACTGGCGCTGGCACAACTGCCATGCCAATGGCGTTTTGCGGGGGAGATACAAACTCACAGCAAACCAGCTCGGGCTTGAACTTGAGATCTTTCTGGGATCACAGATTTGTCGGATTACAGACTGCATCCCATTCCCAATAAAGAACTGATTAGGTCTGCTCCAGCCCAGTGTCACCGGGTCTCTGTCGGACAAGCTCCGGGAGGTGCTTGTCTCAGCCGAGGGGCAGGGAAACTGAAGGCCAACAGTGGGCCTCTCGGAGGTCTGCTCCGAGGAAGCGGCAGGGCTTGCGGCGGGTCCTGTGCCCTTAGGACTAACCGGTGATTGATTAGCAACGTCTGCCCTGGCTAGGAGCGTTGGGGCCAACTAGAGACGCTCCTCCTCTTTGGGGGGTCTCTGTAACCCGTGACCACTGCACCTGCGCAGCATGGAAGCGCGTGTCATCTGATGCTCTTAAACCTCCCATGGCTTCCAGTTACATACAGAGCAATCCCAGAAGCCCCCCTGTGGTCTCCAGAAGCCTGCGGTCGCCCTGGCCGGCGGCACAGCCTCTCAGTCCTCCCTGCCTGCTCTGTCCCGCAGGCCCCGCGATGCAGCGGGCACCGGCTGTCCCCTGTGCTGGGACTGTCTTCCTCCAGGTGCAGCTGTCACTCTACCTGGTTGGACTCTGCCCCCAGCTTCCTCTCTGCAAGGCGGGTGCCTGTAACACAGCTCCCGCCCTGGCCGGGTGCCCAGTGGGTTGGAGCGTCGCCCCCGCACCGAAAGGTTGCAGGTGCCCCGCCCCCCCCCCCCCCGGTCAGGGCACATTCCCAAGCTGCAGGTATGATCCCTGGTCAGGGCACTTATAGGGCAACCAGTCAATGTTTCTCTCTAATCTCCCCCTCTCTCTCCTCCCCCTTTTCTCTTGCTCTAAAATCAATAAACGTATCCTCAGGTGAGGATTTAAAAACAGTAAAACAGCTTTCCCTCCCCCTACTGTGTGCTCCGGCTCCTGACTCTGCCTTTGAAAGTCCTTAATCCCCTGGTTGGTGTGGCTCAGTGGATTGAGCGCCGGCCTGTGAACCAAAGGGTCACTGGTTCGAGTCCCAGTCTGGGCACGCACCTGGGTTGCGAGCCAGGTCCCCAGCAGGAGGTGTGGGAGAGGCCACCACTCATTGATGTTTCTCTCCTCTTTCTCTCTCCCTTCTCTTCTAAAAGTAAATAAAATCTTTTAAAAAATGAAATAAAAAAAGAAATGAAAGTCCTCATGAAGACCTGGGGTTATTTAACCATGTTTCCTATTTTCTATGCCCAGCCCTGGAGGGCATGCTCGAGGGCAGGCAAAAGTAGGTTAGTAATAATAAATAATAAAATAAATAAGTCATACAAGAATAAACTCTGTGTACTCATAACTGCAAACTTATGTTTGCCCACCCCATATTATTGTGTATATATTTTTTATTTTCTGTATATTATGGCATTTGACATCTTAAAAAAAAAAAAAGATTCCTTCCTGGTTTGGGAGAGGCCAGCCCTCCCAGGACCGGGCAGTTCTGGGCACAGGCCGAGGACTCGGCCCTCAGCACGCCTGCGATTTGTTTGCACACGTACCAGTCCAGAGCTGCCCCTCCCCCCTCGGGCCTGCACACCTCAGGGGGAAATGTTTTTCTGGCTTTCTCCTCCCCAGGCCAGGTACAGGCATCTGGGGCCCACTAGCCGGTCCTAAACTGGTGACCTGCTCTGCCTTGCCTTTCCCACTCCAATAAAGGCCCCAGCAAAAGCTCTTTCTCCCTGCTGTCTTCTTCCACCTGACTAAAGCCAAGTGCCTCTCCTGTGACCCCGAATGACACGCAGTGACCTCCTCTGGAGCGGCTGAGACCCGAAGTTTAACATGCGTTTTCTTGTGCCTCTCCCTTTCTCTCAGGGCCGCACCTGACCAACCATCGCATCAAAGGACACTTCATATATAGGTATATATAAAACATAAGTGAAATTCACGTAACCATGTTTAGATTAACCACATAAGGTTAACCGCTAATATAAGATGAACTATTCAGAGGCATTCGGTACATTCGCAGCATTAAACAGTCACTATTGTCTGTATTTCCATTTCTAAAATATTTGTATCGCCCTCGCTGGTGTGGCTCAGTGGATTGAGTAACAGTCTAGGAACCAAAAGGTGTCCAATGTGATCCCCAGTGAGGGCACAGGCCTGGGTTGTGGGCTGGGTCCCCAGTAGGGGGCGCTCAAGAGGCAACCACACATTGTTTCTCTCCCTCTCTTTCTCCTTCCCCTCTCTCTAAAAATAAATAGATGGAATCTTCAAAAAGTAAAATATTTATATCGTCCTAAAAGAAAATCTCGTGCCCATGAAGCATCACAAACTCCCTAACACCCCCTCCTTCAGCTGCTGGCAACCTCTGGCCTACGTTCTCTCTCTGTGGGTTTAGCTGGTGTGGACTGTTCATAGAAATGGAGTCCACGGTTTTGTGTCTCGTTTCATCTAACGTGATGTGTGCGGGCTTCCTCCTCACGGTAGCATGCTCAGTGCTTCGTCCCTTGTCAGAGCTTGGGTCTGTCCCGTGGTAGGGACAGATCTCCTTTGGTTAATGACCAGGACCGCTGACTTTCAGGATTATGAAGCCAGAATCTTGGGGACACAGCACAAGAACAGCTCACTGAGAGCGGAGCCCACACAGAGGACAGGAGAGCCGCAGGCAGAAAGACAGAGACGAAGTCCTAAGGATCCCTCTGGGCCACTGGATCCAGCCACACCTGAATCTGCCACTAGCGAGACTGGGGGAATTCCTAGCTTTGGGAGCCAGTGAACCCCCTTTCACATAAGTCAGCTAGGACGGCAAAGAGGAGCAGGAGAGCTGACGATTATTAAACACTGAGAAGTAAATTTTATGAGCTGCTTTTCAGGAAGACGTTTTCAAAAATGGCTTTGAATTAGAAACTGGTAGGAGGCGTGCTTGGGGAATCCCTAACAATAAATGTGGAATTATCTCTGTGCGAAGCGCCTGGAAGACCAGCACATTCTCATAACGCTGTGTCATGCGGGACGAGGGAAGGCGCTTGGAGTCAGGAGTGATCAGCTAATCGCCTTCAGGCAGCAGGGCTGCGTGCGGACCTCTCCCTGGGCGGTCACCTGCGAGCCCAGAGTGGAGGGGGAGGACCCTGTGGTTCCCGGGCAGGGGCGCCGTGGGCAACCAGCGGCCAGTCCTGGAACAAGGGGGTGGACTCGGAGGGCTGTGGGGCTCCTGCCTGCGGCCCCCGCGATGCAGCGCACAGAGGTGGCGCCTTGCATCCCGGGGTGACCGCTGAGCTCGGCCTCCTGGGGCCGGTGGGCGCCCCTCCCGCAGAGAGAGCCTGCTGCGGGGGCCGGACTACAGGAAATGTTGTTGGAGCCGCATTTCCCGGAACCAGCGTCCGGCTTTCCCCGCGGAGCGCACGTGCACCCAGCAGTTCCTGTTGTCCCGGCCCGGAGGATGTGAGTCTCTAGCTCGTCTCCAGTGATGCTGTGGCTGCGCTTCTAGGGAACCACGCTTTGAGAACCACTGGGTAGAGCTTAACCAAGCAACACAGGAAGGGGACACCACATCTCTCAGTCCAGCAAAAATTAGGAAGCGATTGGTGGAGGTCAGACTGGCGCTGCCACTGTGGAGAGCAATCTGGCAGGACTTAGTGTCATGGAGGAGCCACCTGTCTTGTGACTCAGAAGGCCACCCCAGTGTGCATTCCCTAACTGACACCTCCCACAGCGCCGAGGACACGCGGGAGGAACTCCTCACAGCACAACCTGCTGTGGACAGTCACTGCGGGTGGCTGAGAAATGAAGGCACCGGTGGAGAAGAGATGAGAACAACAGCTGCTGTGGGGTCATGAGGGCACAGGGACCCACTAAGTGCGGTGACATTGTGTGTGTGCTGGTGCAAAGCTGCCAGGAGAGGGATGCGGGGTGTGCTCCGGGTTGCGGGGGCTGTCACGGGCGCTCATGGTCATTGCAATGTGACCACTAAATTACTAAATCATGAGCAGACCTCCATGGCAAAGTGGCGCCCTGGGCAGTCGAGGGGAGAGACAGCTAAGGCCTTGGGGTTCTTGCCGGAGAGTAGGTGGTGCCTTGAAAGGAAGAGGCCCGTCTGCTGTCTCCGAAGTCTGAGGGAGCTGTCCCCAGAGCCCCTTAAGAGAGGCGAGTGCGGCTGGAGCTGGGAACCGGGGCTGGAAGCAGCCGGAAGGCGGCTGGCTTTGGGAGCAGGCCTGGAGGGCTCCCTGAATCTTTCAAACAGGACCACTGTCACCCCGAGGGGCCTACAGGGGGTGTGGCACTGTCGCCTACATAATGGCTCGTACCTGGAAAATTCCTCCAGCCAACTAAGTTTCAGAAGCAGGATGGGAGGGCCTGCTCGGTTTTAAGGAACACATGGAGGCTTGCTAAGTGCCACCAAGTGGCCCCAGAGGACAGGGGTCAAGGCAGCAGGGGGGAGGCCACGGAGAGTGCTGAGGCTGCTCCGTCCTGGCCCTTCCTCAGGCCCTCCTGCTCGCCCTGCGTACCCGCACTGGCCCCCCGAGAGGAAGGACTGTCCCACCCGCTAAGGAGTGACACCGGGGCCCACGCCCCTTCCCCGGCACTGCTCCCCTCAGGGCTGATGGCAGGTGGCCGTGTGGGGCCCGGTCAGGGCTCCGCCTCAGAGGAGGACAGACTCACAGGGGCTGTAGTTCCACCTAGGACTGTCCCTGGCAGGAGGGAACCGTGCAGGTACCGCCTCTCTAGCCAACTTTGAGCCTGGAGAAGGCACCCTGATCCTTGGGTCACAGGTGCCCTTGTGACATCATTGCTGTCCCCTCTGTGACCACCCGCCGGCCCCGGCCAGGCCCCGCTGAGCCACAGCCAGAAAGGGGGCGAACACCTGACCACCGCCCTCAAGCCATGGGCTGTGGATGCTGCGTAAGATGCAGACAGACCCCTCCCAGGGTGGGGGTGCTGGCCTGGGCGTAGGGGCCCCAGGTGACTTCACAGGACTCAGGGAGGGCTGGGGAGCTGGGGACTTGGCTGGGGCAGTCCTAGTTCAGGCTTTCTGCCTGCATTCTGATCACAGAAGTCCCGCCCAAATAAGGAGGAAGAGGAGAGGCTGCGGAGGAAGGTAGGTGGGGCCCAGAGCAGGAGAGATCACAGGTCGTGGCCCCGAGCCCAGGGTGCCCGGGAGTCCCTGGTCCCACTGAGTCAGCTCAGCGTGCTCTCCCATCCCCATGAACCCTCCCTCTCAGGTGATCAGGATGCAGACAGATGCCCATGGGGACAGGGGCCCAAACAGCAGGTACTGGAAGGCCAGAGGGTGGGGCCTGGTCCCAGAGGGTGAGGGCGTGACTGAGAGGTGGCCGTGCACGTGGAAAGAAGGGGGTGCGGGGAGCCCCCAGGCGCTGCGGCAGGGTGTACGGTGCGGAGCAGGCGGGGGCAGGGCCTCAGGGCCCTCAATGTGAGGTTCCTCCTCGCACCCTTGTGGGCTCTTCTGGGCCAGAGGTGTGTCCAGTGGTCCCACAAAGCTGTGACAACCACAGGGCAAGTGCGAGGGGGGACTCAGAAACCCCGGAGTTTATTTATAAGAAAATTGCGTGTTTATTCTTACGCATTTACACTTCAGTCATCTTCCAAGTACGCCCCGTTTGATGCAATACACCTGGCAAGATGTTTTTCCCACGGCTCAAATCGTTTTTGAACCTGTTGATTTGGATGCCTTTTAGTGCTTCTGCCGTTTTTTTTGTTTTGTTTTGTTTTGTTTTGTTTCACCTCTTCCACATCAGCAAAACGTGTCCTTCTGAGGGCTCCTCATCCAGAGAAACAAAAATAGGGGTTCGGGGGGAGACCAGGTGACTAGGGAGGGTGGGGCATGGGAGAAATGGCCTTTTTGGTCAAAAACTGCTGAACAGTCAGTGTGGTGCAGGCAGGTGCGCTCCTAAATCACCCACCGGGCAATGGGCAGCCTCTCATAGCAACGCCAGCTGTTGCCCTGATCCAGGTGAGTTCCTTGAGCGCCCACCTAGCGGAGGAAGCCTGTACTGCAAGGGGCTGCCAGCCAGGTGATAGTTCGGTCTTTTGGGTCCACAGTTGTATAACCCCATTTGAAAGATGAGGATATAGTGAATGAGACGGTGAGCAGCCACAGACCACAGACAAGACACAAGTGGCAGCAAAGCCCCACCAGGGTGTCCTGGGCCCTCAGAACCAGCAGGGGCAAGGCGGGCGGCTGAGAGGGAAGGCTGGAGCGCAGCCGTGGCTGACAAGGCTGCGGCGGATGCCGACGAGGTCCCTGGGAGCCCTCTGCTTTGCTTGGTCGGCAGCTCCTTGAGCAGCAGCGTCTGAAGGCGCGAGCCAAGGCGGCTGGCAGGATCCAGGCCTGGTGGCGTGGCACCCTGGTTCGCCGGACCCTGCTGGTGGCCGCCCTGCGTGCCTGGATGATTCAGGTCTGGTGGCGGGCGCTGCAGTGGCGGCGGGTGCAGAAGCTCCGGCAGGCCCTGCTGAAAGCCTACGTGATCCAGGAGCGGGCGGCGGTCAGGCTCCAGTCCTGGGTCCGCACGTGCCAGTGCCGAGAGCGCTACTGCCAAGTGTGCAACGCCCTCTGCCTCCTCCAGGCCCCCAGGCACTGCCTCCCCTTGCTGGCCGAGGACAGGCCGCGGGTGGAGCCCGCCGCGGCCGCTGCCAAAAGGCTGGAGTTCCACGTTGAAATCCTGTCCATCTGACATACTGCAGAGGTGGCTCAATGGCCCAATAAATGTCTGACCAGGCTTGGTGGGGCTCAGTGACTCCCACACCGCAGGGATCCCCAAGCGCAGGCCCCGCCCCTCCTCCCATACTTGAGAAAAGGCTTCATTTCAGTACAGGCTCCCCTCCCCTGTGGCCTGCCCCTCAGTGCCTGCGGCCTGTGTTCTGGACTGGGGACCGTATGCCCCTGAGTCTGTCCAAATCGGAGCTGCCACCTGAGGCTGTCCTCATTTATGCCGAGCCGGGTGCCCCATTCCACAGACCCAGTGCCATCCTTGTCTCCTGGGCCTGCTGCTGGGAGGGGTTGGGGTCTTATAAACTTGAGGACTCTGGGCGCCTCCGCCTCTGAGAGCTGTCCCTGCGGCCACGCGGTGTCAGCCTGCCATCAGGCCGGCCTGGGCTTGCGACCCGTCAGCTTTCCGCTTGGCGGCCGCTGGACCAGAGTCGGGCTGCTCTCCCGGGTCGGCTGGGCCCAGGCTGCGCGGGCTTCCCGCCAACGGGGACGCGCTCTTCTTTGTGAAGCAGCAGGTCTCAGATCCGTGAGGGACGTCAGCTCTGCCTCCTGCCTCCCTCCTGAGGACCAGGTTCTCTAGGGCGCCAGACAGAGCTATGCCGCCACCCTTCGTGGCATCAGCATTGGCTGGGTGACGCCCTGGCCTTCAGCGCCGCTGACCACCTGCGTTGTCCACTCCTGTGTTCTGGACATCCCGTCTGTCAGGCTGTCTGTGCGGAAGGACCATTTTTCTAAATATCCAATCCATCCTAGGCCAATTCTTTTGTAAAACAACGGAGAAAACGAAATAGGAAAAGCATATAGAATATAAAGTGTGTTTTTAATTATAGTTTGAACGTACGTAAAATTACTATTTCAATTTGTTGTGAATTCCCTAAGTACTTACTCGCGGTTCTCACCTCAGCGGTAACAAACGCTCGTCACACTTCCAGTGGCTCTGCTCCCATCCTCGTCATCTCTCACAACCGGCCACACAGCCACGTTGGCTTCAGTCACCCTGGGCTCTGACCTCTGCCTTCCTGTCCTTGAGGGCAGAGGTCAGACAACGATGCCCTGTAGGCCAGTAGGGGAGACACAGACATAATAAACAGGAAGTTTAACATACCACCTGGCCCTTCACAAAAAAAATTTTGTCAACACCTGTGTTAGAGCTTCTGATTTTTATGCACGGATCCACCTGTGTCTCGGGTCTTAAGACGTCAGAACTTGACTCAGCGATGCTGTACTGCTCACCACGCCTTCCCGCACGCACCCCTTGTTCCCCGCGCAGGCCGTGCTCTCTGCGGAGGGAGCGCTCTCCTCCAATGCTACCGCCACTGGCCTCTGTCCACTTTTGGGAGAGCCTTCCCCTTCCCCTACTTGGTCAGCACCAGAAGAGCTGAACGTCCCTGAAGAAAGCGAGTCACCAGGTAGCGTGGTTTCATCTTATATTCAGGACCACAGAAGGACAAACTTCCCAAGACACTCCTCTATGAGTTTGCTTTGTCGCCTGAAGATTTCGCACTCTTTCCTGTCTCTTCAAAGGGGCAGATGGACGACTGACCGCTTGGTGCCGGATGGCTAGGGAGGGCTGCGACCCCGACCCCGTGGTTCCCCGGCAGGGGCGCCGTGGGCAACCGGCCGCCATCCCGGAACAAGGGCCCGGGACTCGGTGGGCTGTGGGGCCCCTCCTGCCGGCGGCCCTCGTCAACACTGCAGACTGGGTGGTGATCTGTGCCCCAGGGTCACACCCTGCGCCCCGGGGTGCCCGCTGAGCTGCGCCTCCTGGGGCCGGTGGGAGCCCCGCCCCCAGAGAGAGCCTGCTATGGGGCGGGACTGAGGGAGGCGGGACGTCCCAGTCCCAGCAACCGTCCAGTCCCGCGGAGCGCACGTGCACCCGCAGTTCCGATTCGGTCCGATTCGGTCCGATTCGGTCCGATTCGGTCCGATTCATTCCCATGGGGCCCGAGGATGCAGGTCTCTGGCTCATCTCCAGGTGATGCTGTGGCTGCGCTTCTAGCGAACCACACAGACTCAGAGAAAGCTGCAGCCCTTCCCTCCTGGGTCAGTAAAAAGCCCAGTTTCTCCCTCTTAGGAGCCTTTCTCCTGTCTGTCTCTTTGCTACTCATACAAAACACTTTCCTTCTGATGCTTGGAAACTCCATTTTCAACTCCTCCTTCTCAACAGAATGGGGGCCAGGCTGGGCTGAGAATTCCAAGCTGCTACTATGGCTGCTTCTTCGCAGTGACCAGCTCACCTCTGAGACCCACACAGGGACCCACCCAGAGACCCGCCCAGAATCACCCTATTAGAACAAAAGACACTCCTACTACCCAGGAAATTACAAGGATTTCAGGAGCCCTTTGTCAGGATCTGGGGTCCAAGAGCGAATATTAAACAGAAGATGTTTCTTATGCTCTAATGCCTTAAGAAATCACAAGGATTTTAGGAGTTCCGTGCCCAGAACTGGAGGCAGAGACCAATATAGATCTTTTATTCTCTCAGAAGTCTGGAATGTCTTCACATAAAAAATAAGTAAGAAAATAAAGATACATACCCAAGAGAACTGAAGACATGCCCGTACAGAGACTTGGACATTAATAGTCACAGCAGCTTTATTGATCAGTCACAAAGCAGGAGCAACTCCAAGGTCCCCTAGCTGAAGGATGGATGTTAAAATGCGGTGTGTACATGCAATGGAATATTAGTTAGCCATGGAAAGGGAGGAAGTACTGAGACGTGCTACAGCGTGAACAAACATTGACAACACTGTGCCAAGCAAAAGTCAGCCCTGTGTGAGTCCAGCTGTATGAAATATCCAAAACAGAGCACTCTGTGAGTGTGTGGGTGGGCGGTGGCCAGACACTGGGGGAGGGGAGAGTGGAGGTGGACTGCTGATGGGTATGGGATTTATTTCAGGGGTAATGAGAACGTTCTGGAATCAGACAGTGGTGATAGTTGCCCGACTTTGTGAATGTACTAAAATCGACTGAACTGCACCATTTCAAATGGTAAGTTTTAAGAAGTGACTTCTATCTCAAGAACAAAGCTCTTTACAGACAAAATTTTAAAAACTTTTTAGAAAAATATAAAAGAATTCCTAAGCAAATGGAGGGATAGTCCACAACTGTTAGAAGGAACTCTGTATACCCATGATCACCTTTCTCCACCAGATCAATGCACGCGGTCTAAGTCCCACAGGACACTCTGGCAGGCTCGACAGGCATTTCTACCTTTAGGCGTAGCTCTGAGTAACTCGTCACAGTGGAAACTTCTAAAATGGTAAGTTTTTGAAGATTGAATAGGAATCTACCTGGTTGTGGTGCCTTATTTCTGGTGCATCTTTAATAGCCTTCTTTATTTTACCGCTTTCCAGGCCTGTGCAGCCTCTCTGCTCCCTACCGTGTACTGGGGCCCTGGGGCCTGAATCAAGGGCGGTCAGGAGAGCCAAGTCGGAGACGACACTGCCAGGGTCCCTCTTGCTCTCCCCTGCGGGTGGTCAGGAGAAGGACGGAGAGGGGGCTGATTGGAGGAGAGCCCTGGCGGGGGATGGCACTCCAACGCCCTGTTGGTGCACCAAACCTTGCTGCACCTCTGCCAGGAGGCGTGTGGGCAGGGCTTGCCCGCTGAGGAAAACTCAACCCTTGGGTCACAATGCGATTGTGAACTCACAGCTCTCTCCCTCCTGCTACTCCCGCCAGACCTTGGGAAGCAGAGAAACCAAGCCTAAAAAACCATCTAAAGACAAGCATGAGCGTTCGATTCTGTGTAAGAGATGCGGCCACATCTCCTAGGCAGGCCAGGGGTGGGTGGGACCTGCCAGCACTCAGGGGTCGCGGGGAAAGACAGAATGCAGAGGCAGCGGGTGTCCGTCAGAGCCCTGGAGGGACGCAGCACCCTAACTCCTCCCTCCGTTTCCCATTTCCATGCAATGACAGACACAAGGCAATCTCATTTTAATTGTGATCGAGGAAGAGGAAGAAATTGTATTGCCAAAGAAGCAGAAGAGAACTAAAAAGGTGGGTAAAATCTCTATGTAGTTAAGAGATACCCAGACCGCGTCTGTCTGTGTCCTGAGGCAATGGGCTTGTGCCTCAGCAGGGCCCGGGGTCTGCAATCGCGGAGCCTCGGCCCAGTATCGGCCCAGCGTTGGCCCCTTTCTCCTCCGCTGCCTCTCAGCAGGGCTCAAGGGTCTGCGTCTGACTGTGGGGCAGAGCAAACGGAGAGGACAAACGTGTGGGCCTGGGAGCTGACCGGGGGAGGACTCGGAGTTCGAGACTAGAATGTTCAAAATGTGGGGAGGCGGGAGCAGCGACGAGGTGCGGGGGCTGAAAACACAGCACAGCAGCTAAATCCGTTGTTGGGACAACGAGGCCTTGGCCCAGCCCGTGTGGGGCTGGAGCCGGCAGAGGATGGCAGGTGACAGCATTAGGAAGTCAAGCTTCCCAAAGCCACTGAGCACGCCGAGCGGGGTGTGCCTACCAAAGGCCCTCACATCCCACAGGCACCCTCCTCGTGGCTCGTGGCTTCTCCTTTGGCCCATGCACCTGCGACACATTTGGAGGAGGAGGCCAGCACCCAGTGCCCACAGCGGCAGAGGAGGGCGCGCCACACAGGCCTGGGCTCGCAGTCAGTGTCTTGCCACCTCATCCAAACTCTCCGAACAAGGGCTGATGACTAAGAGACTCCAGGACCCTTCCAGGAAATCCTGGAAGTGGGTGGCAGGAGGTTTCCTGAGAGGTTTCTTTTATCTCTGCCTAAAAGGATTTGAAAAGACAAATAAAAGCAGCTGGGAAGATCCAGGCCTGGTGGCGGGGCACCCTGGTGCGCCGGACGCTGCTGCACGCGGCGCTGCAGGCCTGGGCCATCCAGCGCTGGTGGAGGCAGACGCTGGGCAGGATGCTGCACAGGAAGCGGAGGGCGGCCCTGCTGAACTACGTCATCAGAGAGAGGGCAGCGGTCAAGCTCCAGTCTCTGGTCCGCATGTGGCGCATCCACTGGCGGTACTGCCAGGTGCTCAGCGCCATCTACGTGATCCAGTACCACTGGAACTGCCACAACTGCCAGACCTGTGAGCTCCTCCGGGGCCACTGTGTCGTCACGGCTACTCACCTGCAGTTCCACATTGAGATCACCAACCCTGAGGGCTTGTGTTCCCAGTAAAGGTCTGACCTGATCTGGTGTGTCTCATGGTCTCCACCAGCAAAGGGACATTTTAGGACATAGGCCACACTGCCTCCTCTTCATGCAAAACCTCCGGGGAGGTTCCTCCCTATACCCACGGACCCAGTTCCGAAGCACAGGCTACAGATTCAGCTGTCAAAATAGAAACTGAGGCCCCAGCCTACACTGACGTACGACAGAGTCCATAGTGCCGGTGCCCACCCCCAGCCCCATCCCTTGGTCCCCACACCGGCCACTCCCCGCAGGGGTCTGAGAGGCAGAGTCCTCCTGAAGGCTGGGGGGCCTCTGCACAGGACAATGGACTCCAGGGCTCCTCCCTGCCAGCCTGGGGTGGGGACACCACCGGCAAGGTGTCTTTTGCAAGCACCAAGAGACAATGCCAGCGCGGGGGACTCTTCCAGGAGGAGTGTGACACTGCCTCGGGGGAAGGACAGGAGGCTGGCCCTGTGTTGGGGACACCGGGCATGCTGATAGCCCCGGGACTAGCAGAAAACAGGTTCACAGCCCTTCATCGCTGTCTGCCCAGTCCCCTCACCCGCACCTCTCTCCCCGAAGGCTGCGCCACAAAAGGCTCGCTCCACTCTCCCAGGCCCCTCCTCCTGCCCCCGTTCCCGGTGATCTTGTCATGGGCCAAAGGGATCCTACGGATCTCCTTCGTTTTTACCTCTAAGAAACCTCTTTGGCTCCCTTCCTCAGCCACTCACTCCCATGGTTATAATAAAGCAGCCTATGCAATAGAACTTTCTGTGATGTTCCATACCTGTGCTGTTTAATATGGTAGCGACTGGTCACACATAGTTGTGGAGCCCTGGAAATGCATCTAGCACAGCTAAAGAATGAAATTTTTTATTTTATTTTATTTAAATTAGGTTACATTTAGCCCTGGCTGGTGTGGCTCAGCGGATTGAGCGCCAGCCTGCGAACCAAAGGGTCACCGGTACAATTCCCAGTCAGGGCACAGGCCTGGGTGGCAAGCCTGGTCCCCAGTAGGGGGCGCACGAGAGGCAACCACACACTGATATTTCCCTTTCTTTCTCCCTCCCTTCCCCTCTCTCTAAAAATAAATAAAATCTTCAAGAAAATAATTTGAGTTTAAATAGCCCCATGTGGCTACTAGCTATTGCATTGGACGGCCTGGCCCTAGACCTCACCGTCATCAATCATTGTACAATATATTGCCCAAATCACCCTGTCTAGAGTTCCATTCTCGGAATCCTGTATTCCCTCCTTCCTGTGTCCCTTTCAAATACCCCCAACAGGATGTCCCTTTAGGTGTGATAAATTCGTCCAATCTATTGACCCTGCCTTTTTTTTTCCCCCTTTTTTTTCCAGCCATCACTCTTGACCTACCCTGGCACCTTCCTTGACCCACTTCAGATTCTGTGGTTAATTATTGTCATCTCCACCCTGCACAGCCTACCCCCCTGGCCCCCCTCCCCACAAACGTATGGGACGGACTCAGCCGTTTACCGGCTCCGTGCCTGCCGGAGGGGCGTGGCTGGAACGAAGCTGACTCCGTGAGGCAGGATCTCAGCTGTGTTCACGGTGCAGGTCTCCGCCACACAGGTTCCAGTGCCCTCCTCCACCGAGTTCGCATTTCTACAGCGGCCGGCGGGGAGTGAGGCCCGCTGGAGTGCAGTTGGCAGGTAGGAGTATGGGTGTCATAATTTATAGTTTTAATGCTAACACTTCACCTAAAATGTCCTAGGGTGTGCTTGAGTGTAATATTGTTATGTTACAGAATTGCATGCTTAGGATCTTGTAATAACAGATTTTGTAATAAAAAAGGGGCGTTATTGGTGCTGGACCCTGTATTGGCTACCCTGAATTCATACCACCTCCTCTCCAAGTGCCCAACTCCACTCCTCCCCCTAGAACTCCGTGATGACATCCATCACCCCACGCCTGGCTGAAGGCGTGGCACCAGGCTGGCCCTTGCCTCTGCGCCAACGCGCCCCCACCCCAGCGCCGCCTCGCCCACACTCCCTGCCTTCCCTCCCGCCGCCGCAGTGAACAAAGCGTCTGCGGTCCAGTCCAAGGCCAGCTCCTCCGCGACCTGGCTGCCTGCCATCTCCAAGTATTGGACCCCGCGCGTCCTCCACGTTGTTGGTGTCTGCCTCGGCCATCTTCGGAAACACGGCCTTGATCCATTCCTGCCCCAGTCCTTTGCTCCTCCTCACAGCAAAACTTGTCACTCCACTTCTGCTCCTACCATTTTGTCTTCAGCCCATGCCAGTTTAGGCTTCCAGCCCTCTCACTGAGATAGGCGGATCGACGTCCCCAACATTCCAGCGGCCGAGGCCAGCGGGTACCCCTCTGTCTTACCTTCGGCACCCTCTCTCCACTGCACTCCCTGAGTTCACGGCTCTCTCCTTATCGACACACCCAGTTCTGAAGGAGGCTGGACTCTGGGTGGCGACCATAAAATACAGTACACAGAGGATATATGATGGAATTGTCCACTTGCAACCTATTTAATTAACCCCAACAAATTCAAAAAATATGTATTTTAAAAAAGAATTGCTAAGAAACATATTTTTAGCAAAAATAATTGCTAAGCGATATAAAAAATGATACGTTCTGAGCAATTATTTTTGCTAAACCACAAAAAGCATATCATTTAACCCATAAGTACTATAGTATGTGTCAATAGGTGAGAACTTTATAAATTATAACCTCAATATTATATCTTTCAAGAGTCACAATAATTCTTTGACATCATAGAATCTGTATATTCACCTAATAACTGAGCTTCCAACTCCATAAAGCAAACTTCCCCGGCGCCCCCTTGTGGTCCGCGGCGACCCCCCCACCAGATTAGAGGTCGCTGACCTGCGTGTGGGCCTGCTGCTCTGCCTTAATGCTGGATAAAAGGGATGGCAGTTTGTGGCCTTTTGCGCCTGGTATCTTCACTTAGCATAATGAATCCGAGATTTCTCTGTGAGTGTTGTTTTTATTGCTGAGTGGCGTTCCACTCCCTGGAACCAGAGGTTTTTACCAGTTGAAGGACTTGGGAGTTGTGTCCAGTGTTTGGTGATTGCCCATGAATCTGCCACATAGTGTGTACTTGTGTAAAACGGTGTGTGTGTGCGCGTGTGTGTTGGAACTTGAGCTTTGCAGTTTATTTGGTTAATAAATTAGGAGCAGGTGCTTCTGATTCCAGCACAAGCGGGAAGCAGTGAAATCAGTCAGTCAGGACAAGTACTGCAGGATTCCAGTCCCGGGTGATACGGGGTCAAATTCATAGAGACCAAAAGTGAAACGGTCGTTGCCTGGGGCTGGGGGAGGGGAGAATGGAGAATTATGAGAATTACTGTCTAATGGATTGTTTCAATTCTGCAAGATGAATGAGGTTCCGGAGCTGGACGGCGGTGACAGTTTCACAGCAAAGTGAGCCTATTAATGTCACCGAGCTGTTTGCTTAAAATGGTTTAAATCGACAGTCCCCACCCAGCCTTTTTGGCACCAGGGACCAGAGGGAGCGGGGACAGGAGGCAGATCTCAGGCGAGCGCTGCTCGTGGCTCGTTCCTGACAGGCCTGGAGGTTGGGGGACCCTGGTTTAAATGGCAAATTTTATGTGACGTATATTTTATCACAATTTTAAAATAGCATATTTTAGAGATAGTGGAGAGGGAAGCAGAGGATGACGCAGGACTCCGTGTGGCAAAACTACTGAGCGAGCAGGCCACTAGAACGGCTGGCTGGCGGACTTAGGGGCGGCCCTACCAATCAATCACCAGCCTGCTAATCCGGCCCCAGGCTCCCCGTCCTCCGCACAGGGCCCCGTACAACCCCCGCCGCTTCCTCAGAGCCGATGTAGGGGATGCCCAGCATCTGCCATCATTAGCTCAGTGACCTCTGCGATACGGACCTGAACGAGCTGGGGACACAGATATCTCAGACCTGATCATTCTTTATTGGAAAGGATGTGCACTGTTGCAGTCTGCAAACCTCGGAGCCCAAAGAGATTTCCAGTTGAAGATTTAGTTGGTTTTCTTTGATGTCGTAATGACCCTGAATAAAGCCACGGGAATGGCAGTTGTGCCAGCGCCAGTACACCTGGATGATGCGGGCGGCGTGGAGCAGGCGGCAGTAGCGGAGGCGCACGCGCCACATGCGCACCCAGGCCTGCAGCCTGACGGCCGCCCACTCCCTGCGCACGTAGGCGTCGAGTGCCGCCCGCCGCCGCCGCTCCAGCTGCTTGGCGAGCACCTGCCTCCACCAGCGCTGAATGATGGCGGCTCTGAGCGCCGCGTGCAGCAGCGTCCGGCGCACCAGGGTGCCCCGCCACCAGGCCTGGATGTACTTGGCCGCTTCCTCTCGGGTCATCATGATCTTAATTTTTCTGGGGCCTTGTAAGAGAAAACGGGACTCTTATCCTAAGAAACGCACACATTTCGGCCCTAAAGTGGGCCCGGAAGGGGCCCTGACCCTCTGTCAACAACCGGTCCTCCCTCTGACTCTTCAGGGGGGCCGTTGGCAAGAGCTGGATCCAGGAAACCTAGTAAGTGTCCTGCTTCTGCCATGCGTGGACATGGACACATCATCTTTCCCGAGTCTCAGGGTCTCCATTTGTGCAACGGAGCTGCGCCTGCGCTTGCAACTTCACCCACCTGACGGGCCAGTCTACACAAGATAGACCAGGCAGAGAGGTGAAACCGACCCAGGCTTCGCCTGGACCAGACCTCCTACCCGCGATTCTGTCTCCTCTCTTCAGGACCCCCTCCCCGCATCTGCTGGAACCGTGACGTCCTTTGCTCCCGCGTCCTTGCACCTCTGATGTCAGGCTAACCCGCGGCCTGCTGTCTCTCCCCTGCCCCGCTGCGATATTAAAAAATCCCTCCACCTCGCACAGTTGATGAAGAGCTTACACACTCACTACCACATCAGCACAAAGTTCCACACATGCACATGCACACGCACACACGCTTCTAGGCCCGTCGTGCCCGTTGGCCTTGCGCTCCCGAGCGCAGCCCCTGCCTCATGGCTCCCCACCCTGTGTGGCCTGGGGGCGCACTCTGGCCCGCTCGCTGGCACACCCCACATGCCCCGGCCAGACCCACGCCTCTCAGCCTAAGAGGGAAATGGGGAACAGGACAGCCCAGGGGGAGTCGCCACCTGTTCACTCCAGCTCGGTGCTCGGTGGCTGTCTGCCCTGGCTGGCCTGGCACACCTGGGCGTGCGCCCCTGGCCTGGTGTAACGTTGAGCAGTACCCCTTCCGTTCGCTGGAGCACCTCCAGGCAATAAATCGCATAGTCACAGGGCTTTGGTTCACTCTGCTGGACCACAAGGGTCAGAGACATCACAAGGTGGAGCTCTCCCCAACACAGGCGAATCTGGACCCATCCGCCCATGGAGGGTGGGGAGGGCATGGGCGGGGTCCCTTCTAGCTTTTGCTCCCAAGCCCTGTTCTATCCATGGGATGTCATCATTATCTGTGATTATAACTTGCAAGGTTTCCGTCCTCCTGTAATCAGAGTCTAGAGAGGAAAGGATGGAGAACGTACAAGTGCCCTCTCCCTGGGGGCCAAGTCAAACCGGCACTCAGCTCCTGGCCCTTCCTAGTACCTCAGACACGGAGGAGGGCTCCACCCCGAGGTCGCTGTGAGACCTGCGCTGACCTCCCAGAGAGTTTGGGGGCGTCTGGCCGTCTCCCAGCGCGCGGGAAACGTCCAGGGCTCCGGTTGGAGGGCGGAGCCCCTGAGGCCTGCGCTACATTACCCATGGTTGGGGGCCAGGTGTCCCGCCACCCTCAGGTCTGCCCTCCTCCAGCCGCAGCTCCGGAAGGAAGAGAGGAGGCGGGGAGAGAGCCGTGATGTCATAAGGGCGCCTGTGACTCAGGGGCCAAGATGTTCCCCAGCAGCAGAGGAAAACCTAGGACACTGTCCTTCCCTTCCTACCAGAGTGGCCAGAGTTGTGCTTACAAAGACCGCCCCAGGCCCCGGCGACGGAGGTATGTGGTGATACTCGTTGGAGCCCAGCGGGCATCCATTCAATGGGTCTCAGCTCACTCAGACGCCGCTCTCCTGCGTAACAGCGGTGTATTCTCTGTGTGCTGGTAGAGAAGGGGAACGAGTATTAGCAAGATGAGCAAATTCTTTGAATCCAGATGAACTCAATTTCATCATATATTCATACACATGCTGCAAGGCATTACTTTAAGAGGGGGTGGGGATGAGGAAAAGAGGCACAAAAATGAGCAGTGGTCCTCCGCGGTGGGACTCGCAGAATGGAGGGAGCAGAGCACACGCCCTTGCCGGGGCTGGGCCTCCTGCGTCTGCCTCTCTGCAGGGCGCCCAGTTATGCGGCCCCTGGCAGGGCAGACCCCCGGACCGGCCAGGGCCCCCAGCTCGGGCTCCAGTGGTCTCACGCATGTCCCTGTCCTCCCCTTCCCCTGAGGGCCTCAGGGCCACAGTCAGGAGGCTCCTGGTCACTGCAAGGCCCCCGGGGCTCACTGAGGAATGCATCTGCAATGTGCAGGGTGAATAAGGGGGAGGCCAGTGTGGGGCTGCGGGGAGGGGCAGGGGAGGCCTTTAAAGGCTGCAGGGGGGTGTCCGCGTGAAGTTAATGGGGGGAGGGGTGGGGCAGATGGGAGTAAATGGGAGAATGGGAGAGAGAATAGGGTACAATGCTTGGACGCCGAGGTGCAGGAAGCCAGGCCCCGGGGGCCCCAGCAGTCCCCCAGGCTCCAGCCCCCTGTCTCCACGTTTTGCTGTCCACGGCCGCGGCAACGGAGTGACAGCATCCACCCGCCTGACAGTGAGAAAACATCTGCTGACTCTGGGCTCACAGCTGCTGGGCCGCAGGCGGCGTCTGCTCCCGGCTCCGCCCATCCGAGGCCTTGCCACGTGGACCCCACCCTGGTGACGACAGGCTTTTCCGTTGCTGTTGATTCTCGCTGCTTCTAGAAAAACATCCAAGAAGCCTCCCTCCTGAATCTTTACAAATTGGCTCCGTGAAAGGAGGCAGACTCGGAGGAGGGCGCCCGTGTGAATCGGGTGCCGCGGAAAGGACACCCAGCGTCACCGGGGCGTCACCGGGGCAGAGTGGGGCAGAGTCAGCTCCCTGCTCCGCGGGCACGGGAGAGACCCCACGCGGAGCCCCGGGGAACAAGGGGGCTGGGCTCAGGAAGGAGGGGGGGCTCAAACAGGAAAGAGGCGGGGGCTGGGGTGTCAGTGGTGTCGTGACCCCGGGGATGAGGGACGGGGGTGCTGGGAGCTGGAACCCGCCAGGACCATCTCAGGCTGAGGTGAGTCCTGAAGGCACTATTCTTTTTTTAGAGATTTATTTTATTTTTAGAGTGAGGAGAAGAGTGAGAGAGAGGGAAACATCAATGTGTGGTTGCCTCTCATGCGCCCCCTGCCGGGGACCTGACCTGCAACCCCGGTATGTGCCCTACACTGGGAATTGAACCCCCGAACCTTTGGTTCGCAGGCCGGCACTCAATCCACTGAGCCACATCAGCCAGGTGTCGAAAACGCTATTCTTAAGTGGTGAAAAGTTACCGTGAAGAGCACATAGATCTGAGCGATGTAAAGGTGGGTTGTAGTGATCGTGTAGGTGTAGCACAGCCTCTCTTCCCAGGTGCTGTGAATAGTGGCTGCCGCCGGGCCCCACGCTGGGAGTTGCCTTGGCCACAAGGAGGCGATCTGATCAAGGTTGTGAGCGCTCCTAAGGCAAAGCCTGCAGCCAGGGACTGGCTTACCATTGGTGCTATGGGCTGAATTGTGTCCCCGACCTGAAGAAAAGATGTATTGAAATCCTAACCCCTGTGGCTCAGAACAGGACCTTCTTTGCAAATGGAGTTTTGGCAGGTGTAGTCAAGTTAAGATGAGGTGATGAGCGTGGGTCCTAATTCAATATGACGGGTGCCCTTATAAGAAAAGGGAAAATGGGGCCACAGCGCAAGTGTGCACCGAAAGGAGACACGCGGGACGGCTGTGTGAAGGCGGAGGGTTGGAGTGGTGTGCCCGTAAGTCAGGGGACTCCGACGACAAACCCCCAGAAGCTGGAAGGAAGCAAGGACGACAGATCGTCCCCGGCAGGTTTCACGGGGCACCCGGCCCTGCAGGCGCGCTGACTCTGGCCTCCCGGCCTCCGGGGCCATGAGGTGGCACACGGCTGCTGTCTAAGCCAAGCGTCTGTGGGACTTCGGACAGCAGCCTAGGCAACTGTACAGTAGGGGACAACGACCACCCCGCCTTGCCTGGATTTGGAACGACTCTGAAAGAGCCCTGCCTGCCGCCAAGCGTCCTGCAGGATGGGCTAAGATCTGCTGTAAATATATGACAGGTCAGCTTCCTCATCTTCCTGATACCGTATTCCTCACCTCCTGACAAGGCACTCGTGACTTCCCACCTCAGAGTCTGTTCGGGCGCCCAGTAGGAGGCGATGGAAGACGGCGCCTGGCCCACGGAGCCCCCCAGCCTGCCGCCCTCCCGTGGCTGTCGGGCCACAGCGAGTGAATCTCCTGGAGTTTCGGGTGCCGCACACATTGCTGTGCCGGGGCCTGTTTTTTTATGGCCGGTGCCTATCCGCCATGCCGAACCAAGAAAAGAGGAGCAAAGTGGGGTGGAAAAGTCTCACAGTTAAGACAGTGGCAAAGTATTGTGCTCACAGCGCCACGACACTTGCGCGCTAAAAGAATGCGGCGGGACACGCCTACCTTACCAGGCCGCGCCACCTGCTGCGCTAGCAAGGCCAACGCACTAGAGACGCGGGAACGTTCAGCTTTGACGCTCATCACAGCGGGGTGTCTTCATGAAAATAAATAGATGGAAATGAACCTGCCAGCAGTTTCCAAATTGCTCATTTGTTAGCCAAGCGAGAAAAGATGTTTACTGGTGGTGAGTTAATTAAATCATGCTTAATTGTAGCAGCTGAAAAAAAACGTGTCCGGAGAAAACAAACTGAACACTATCAGCCTCTGGGCGAGAATAGCCGCGGCAAGAGGAGGAGATGCTGGGAATAAAATCGGTTGTCAGTTAAAAACAAGCCGAGGGATTTCGAGCGGTTCTCCTTGGCTCTCACTGAGCCACTGGCAGACGTCACTGGTACAGTTCAGCTGTTGCTCATCGAAGGGGTGACCGCCAAGTTTGGCGAGACTGAAGAATTTGGGCTGATGAGTAGTTTGCGTGACACAAATATATTTGAGGAAGGGGCGGGGAAAGCACTGATTCAGTACACGCTGAAGTGGAACCTGCTAAGATGTGATAAAACTGCCGGTGGTGAAAATATGTATGAAACACAAAGAAAACACAAAGGCTTAGTTGGACAAATTTACAAATGGAAAAATTTTCTATCTTCCATTTATGAAATAGAAAGTGCTGAAAACTTAAGGGTGGGTATCACTGTATTAGTCATCCGTGTTGCCGGGACGCGGACCAGCAAGGCGTCCACCACTGCTGAGACCTCCCCGCCCGCCCCGCCCCAGGCCCGTCGGAAACCCCGCGCAGCGAGCGGCCCCCTCCCCGCTGCCATTCGAGGCTCCCCTTGAGCGAGGCTGCAGTTCTGCCGCTGTCTGATGTGGGGTGGCATACACATACGCAGCTTAACAATCCACAAATCAGGCTCGGACGTTCCCCTCTCCATGTGCTGATCCCAAGGCGTGCCCGAAGCCCCAGGTATGAGCTGAGAGAGGGTGGTGGCAGAGCAGTGGCGGGCTGCTTGAAAGTCTAGGTCCTCTGCCTTGGTGGCCTGCGTCTTCGGTTTCCCCTTGTCTGCTTCTGTTGCCACCTGCGAGCTCAGGGAGGACGGTCATGCTTCTTCAGACTCAAAGGGTCCAGGGGGACCGGGGGGTTCAAGTTTTGGGAGGGCCACCGACCCAAACTACTGCAGCCCTGTTCTGGGCGAAGCACCCACTCTCAGTGGCGTGTTACCTTCTCAAGAGGCTGGCCGGCCCTCAGACGCTAGGGCCCTGAGCCTGCCCCTCAGCTTCTCCGTCCTTCCAGCGGGATGAGCGCTTCTGCAGCCGCTACCAAGGGGATCTTCGCCGCCTATCACATGCCCTAAGCCTTTTGTTATCTTGTCCCAGAGCTTCAGTGGAGCCTAGAAATAGCCATCCAGACCTTTGCAGTTAACTCCCCCACACCTTTAAGTACCCGCCGCGTCACACCGGCCGGTGTGTTCCCTGCCCTCTGTAGGCCACCCCAGGCCACACCCGGGAAAGGGTCAGCCTTGAACCCACCACCTCAAGGCCCGTTCTCCATTCCCCACAGGCAGGCGCAGACAAAGGGAAGGACCCTGCTTCAGAGCCCCATCTCACCGCCTGCCTCCTCAGCCTCCAGCCCCGATCATTTCCACTCGGGGTCTCCAGGGAAGGAGGCTCCGGCCCGGAGTTGAGTGTCCAGGACGTTTATTAGGGAACGTCCTTGGGATCGATGCCAATGGGAGGAAAGGGGAGGAGACAGGAAAGGGTGGAGGGAGAAGACCCTGCAATTCAACTGCAGCCTCAGCAGGCAACGAACGCAGAGCGTTCTGGCGCTCGAACGGTCCAGTGTTGCCCCACATCGCGTGCAAGCGCTCACGCCTTTTTACAGTTATGAGCCAGTCAATGACAGACCGTGCATACGCTGGTGGTCCCGTGAGACTATAACGGAGCTGAACAATTCCTATCACCTGGTGGCATCGTAGCCTTCATAACGTCATAGTGCAGCACATCCCCCCGTGTGTGTGCTGATGCTGGTGCAAACACACTGCCTGTGCTGCCAATTGTATGAAAATATAGCACCTACGTCCTGGCTGGTGTGGCTCAGTGGATTGAGCGCCAGCCTGCGAACCAAAGGGTCGCTGGTTCGATTCCCAGTCAGGGCACAGGCCTGGGTTGTGGGCCACGTCCCCAATAGGGGGTGTGGGAGAGGCAACCACACATGGATGTTTCTCTCCCTCTCTTCCTACCCCCCTTCCCTTCTCTAAAAATAAGTAAAATATTTAAAAGAATAACCCAAGTTTTTAAAAAATGTATAGCACCTACAATTACATACATGCATAATGACTGATAATGATGATAAACGAGTATGTCTGGTTCATACATTCACTATACTTTTTATCATTATTTTAGAGTGCACGCTCCCTACTTACAGAACTATGTTTGCTGTGAAACAGTCTGCCAGCAGCAGCCTACACGTCTCCCGGTCACTGTGTCTTTTGACAGCGTCGTTTTGCTTGTGTTTGGTTGAATGACATGTCGTTTTATAAACAGCGTCACGGGGATCACAGGGTCTGTGACGTCTGCAGTGCTGTGCGGTTTTCCCTGCCGACTCGCCCACACCGACCGCCGTCCTGCACACTGCGCTCGTAGGTAGTGCCCTTTACGAGGGTATCACTTTTTTATCTTTTATACTGTATTTTTACTGTTTTACATTTTCTATGTTTAGAAACATTTAGACGCACAAGTACTTACCATTGTGTTTCAGTTGCCTATGGTTTTCGGCACAGTAGCATGCTGTGCAGGTGTGTACAGGCATGTGCAGGCATGTACAGGCCGGGGCTGCGCGGTGAGCGACAAGTTGGAGGCAGGAATGAGGACCGGGGCTCTGTGCCCTCAGCACCTCCAGTTTGGGCCTCGGGGCTGCTGGAGGAGGTCATCGAGAGCACGTGACCCCCCCTGACCTGGGAGGTAGGCTCCTCACCCATCCTGTCCGTGAAATGTAACCTGCCCTTTGCCCCCTGTTCTTACAGTGAGAGGCATCTTGGAGGACGCAGCCCGGAGGCAGGAACATGGTGTTGAGACCGCCTGAAAGCGCATGGGGCTGGACCCAGTTAAGGCCTCGCTGTGAACTTTTTCCTGGTGGGCGGGGACGGAGGTCCACTCGTCCTGTGGCCCTGAGCAAGCCTCGTTTGTGAGCTCCTGCGCTGATTAAACCTGAGTCCGGAGCAGCCCGCCTCCTCCTGCGTGCGGTCTCTCCTTCCCCTGCGTGTCCGGGGGCCGGCTTACCAACCCCAGGCTCACGTCAGTCACTGGGGGTGGGAGAACAAGCCCCAGACAACCAGACCTGGCTGGGCGAATTCCTGGCAAATGTGCTGCCATTGCCACTACCCGCCATCTACCCTGCCCCCAACGCTCCCGTCACCCTTGTGGAGATGCACCATACAGACCAGACGTGCAGGATGCTCCCTGAGGTGGCCGGCGTGGCAGATCTGCACCCCCAACTTTCCCACCTGCGCAGACATGGCCAGCCAGTCTCTGCTCAGTCTAGCGAGTGTTCAAATGCCTTCCCCTCTCCCGACAACCGTCCCCGACTCCTCGGAGCTGGCCTGGGAGACGCTCAGTATCTGCCATCGTCCGCCCTGACCTCCTGGAGCTTGTCCGGAAGAGGGAGGCTGGGGAAAGACCACTTCACTGCTTTATTGGGAGGGGAATACATTCTGACACAAAGCAAGGCTCGGAGCCCAGCACGATCTCTAGCTCGAGATGCAGCTGGTTGGCCATGACTCTGTAGTGGCCGTTGATGAAGCCCCGGGAAGTGCAGGCGCGGCAGCGCCAGTACGCCTGGATGACGCGGGCGGCGTGGAGCAGGCGGCAGTACCGCAGACGGATACGCCACATGCGGACCCAGGCCTGCAGCCTGACCGCCGCCCACTCCTTCTCCGCGAAGATCTCCAGCGCCGCCCGCCGCCGCCGCTCCAGCCGCTGGGCGAGCACCTGCCTCCACCAGCGCTGAATGATGGCAGCTCTGAGCGCTGCGTGCAGCAGCGTCCGGCGCACCAGGGTGCCGCGCCACCAGGCCTGGATCTTTACGGCTTCCGGATTAGGAGGGGGGGACTTATTTTTGTTTCCTGGGATCTTGCAAGAAAAAAGAGGACGTTCAGAGCATGGCCCCCCACCCACTTCAGGCCCAGGGTTTGCGGGAAGGGACGCTGACTCTCTGTCAATAGTCCCTCCTTCCCAGGAACACTGGGTGGGGCGCTCCCTGGAACCAGAAGCCCAAGTAGGTGTCCTGTCTCCGTGCCTCCCTGGTTTGTGGACATGAACATGCTGACCTCTGAATCTCGGAGTCCCCTTCTGTAAAATGGGATCACATCTGCCCTGGCCACCCAGTTTTGTATGAATCAAGCTGGCCAGCCTGGGGCAGGAAGACTGTGATCTATGGGTCCAAGGATCACCGTGTCATCCTAACCAGGGCCCGTGACCCTTCCTGTCAGACCCCACCCACCTGCTGGCCTCTTTGGTGGACTCTGCCCTTTCATCTTTGACTCCAGCTCCCACCCACAACATGCTCTTCCTCCGCACGCCATAGTATTATCAGTTCCGTCCACCAGGGGGAGTTCTCCCGCTCCCACCTCTCTGTCTTCCTTTCTCTTGACTTTAACACTTTAGATCTTAACTAACACACAAACATGGTGCACAAGCTCACACACACACAACAGACTATTGACAAAGCCCAGCCGCCCCTATGATGGCCATTCCATCTCACGACTACAGCCCCCCTATTCCAGCCCCAGCCCTGGGGATCTTGCGGCGGGGGGCGGGGGGGGGGGGTGTCATACTTCTCTGGGGCTCTTTTTAGCATTGTCCACTCTCTTTGTCTCAACCTCATTTGCATTGTAAGCCTGAAAAATAGATGGGGAAGGGGGACAGACAAGAAGGAGTGTATTCCTGTTCTTAGCTCTGGACCACACAAAAGACACTAGCCACCAGCTCTAGGACACAAAGGCCAGACCCGTCCAAGCCAAGGCCCCTCCTACCTACCTCTACCTTCTTCGGGGTCGGAGGTGCTGAGGATGAACCAGCGGGCTCCCCTCCCTGCTGAGGCTCATGTCTAGCGTGTTCCGCTTTTCCAGGCTGGTCTGCCTCCTGCGGTCAGCAGGCAGGGGAAGGCCAGAGAGGGGAAGGCTGCTCTCCCCACCCCTCCATTAAGGACCCCACACTTGCCCAGCTTCCAGGGCCTCCCAGGGTATTCAGATGCCGGGGGTCCCCTCATCCTGACGCACCTATGGAGACATCCCTAAAAAGCCTGGGTGTCAGTCCCTTACCATTGATCCCACATGGATTGGGTGTAGATGGTTCAAACCCCCTCAGGCCTGTGTTATTCCAGCCATGGCCTGGGTGGAAGGAGTAAAGGGGGGAGACCTATGACATCATAAGGGCAGCTATGACTCAGGAACCAGGATGACTCCCAATACTTGAGCCCTCTCCAAGGAAAATACGAAAGTCTATCCATTTTTTTCTGCCGGAAATGGCCAAAGCCCTGACTATAGATGCAAGATTCCAGAAATACCAGCCCATTGATGTAAAGGTGCATAAAGATAGTCAGTCGTTGGTAATATCTCCAGCTGGTAAAACTGGGGATTGATTTAATGGTTGACAGCTCATGCATCCTACAGAAGATTATATCACTGTTAAAAAATAATTAATTTGATCTATATGTATTGATAAGTATATCCAAGATGTATTTATAAGTGAAAAAACTGAAGATCGTTATGACCCCATTTAAGTAAATAATACCATCAAGATACAAACATAATTGTACTTACATGTTGTAAATACATATAAATAAAGGGGGAGAAAGGTATATACACCAAGCTGCTGCCAGTGGTTACCTTAAGAAACAAGAAGGGAGCTGCTGTCCCACCCGTGCAATGTCCAGGGAGCTCTGTGAGGCCCCCAGGGCCGCCGGGGCTGCCTCAGGTTTCCGCAGGCTCAAGGGCTCTCCTGTCTCCCGCCCCGAGGGGCTCAAGGCCGCAATCAGATACGTGAGGGGCAACCAACTGCAGAAGTTCTTAGCTCTGTTCTTACTCTGAAACATGCAAAAGCCACCAGGCACAAGACCCTAGACACCAGGTAGGGACCGCCCCACCTCTGCCTGCTCCTGTCCTCTGACGACATTTGAAACCAAGGTAGATGAGAGCTAACTAAAGGGGGACCCACTCTCAACCCAACTGGACTCCTAATTAATTGAAAAAATGACCTCCCTCAATCTCCACTGCTTTTACCCACGGTGCTTGGCATGGAATTTTAAAAGTGAGACACGTGAAGAGGTAGGAAAATGTGACCTGTAATCAAGAGAAAAATCAACAGAAGCAGACCATAGATGACTCATGTTGGAACATTAGCAGACAAGAACTTAAAATAATTACTAGGATACTAATATGGATACAATGAACAAAGAATTTAGAGGAAACGGCAGACAAATGAGTGGAAAATGGATTTCAGCAGATAAATGTTAACTCTAAAAAGACAGGACAAAAACTAAGTAGGAATTCTAAAACTGGAAAATACAATATCCAAAATAAATAATGAATAGGGTGAAAAAGATCAAAGACAAGTCAAAAATTATACAAACATGATAAATACCAGTAAGACCCACATTGAGGCACAACAGTAAAATTGCTGGAAAAGATTTTTACAAATCTTTAAAAACCAGATAAAAAGGTTGCATTAGTTTTAGGGGAAGAAAAATTAACATACCAGTTGGTTTGTCATCAGAAACAAATGGAAGCCATAAGAAAATGGAATAACATTGTAAAGCGCCAAAAAACAGGAGGGAGGGAGGGAGCCAACCTAGAATCCTACACTCACAGACAATAACATTGAAAAACAAAAGATCTATACTTACCACTTCTGTTTAACAATGTACTGAAGGTCCAAACCAGTGCATAAAGCAATAAGGCAAGAAAGTGAAATAAAATGCCTAAAATTTTTTCAAAAGTGATTCACATAAAAATTTCCAAAGATGTCTATCTCTAATACTAGTAAGGGAACCTAGCAAGTATGCAAGGTACCCAGGGAGTTATCTGCGCATATCTGTGAATATATTAAACACCACTGAATTGTACACTTTAAATGGGTGAACTATATGACATGTGAATTATATCCCAATAAAGCTGTTTCAAAATAAAAATAAAAAGCACCCCCAAAATTGAAAGACACAAGGGTAACAAACATCGATAAATACTTGGGAGATGTTTTTTCTTTTTTTAAAGATTTTATTAACTTTTTTAAAGAGAGGGGATGGGAGGGAGGAAGAGAGGGAGCGAAACATGGATGTGCCAGAGAAACCTTGATCAGTTTCCTCTCGCACACCCTCAACCAGGGACCCAGCCTGAAACCCAGGCAAATGCCCTGACTGGGAATCAAACTGGTATCCTTTCAGATCACAGGCTGACACTCAACCCACTAAGCGACACCAGCCAGGGCAGCAGCTGGGAAATTCTTGATATAGAAATATAAAGTGGAAGGATTTACATTGATTTGAAGACAATGGTTTACTGTCTTGAAAAATTATTATAAAGTTACAGTAATCAAGACAGTGCAATTTTAGTGTAAGAAGAAACAGATCAAAAAACAGAATAGAGAAGCCAGAAATAAACTCACATTTATGACATCTATTGATTTTTTTAATGCATCCCCCAAAAATTAAATGTAGAAATGCATTTTTCAATGGAAAAAAAAAACTTGACCCTTACCTAATGTCATAGACAAAAAAAAAATTAATTCAAGATTTATCATAGGCCTAAACAAAAATTAAAGCTAAAACTATAAAGCTTATAGAAGAAAATCCATGAGAATTACTTTGTGACAAAGATTTCTTAGGATAGAGAAAGCACTAAGTATAAAATATTGATAGACTGGACTTTGTCCAAACTAAAACTATTCATCAAGCCCTGGCTGGTATGGCTCAGTGGATTGAACGCCGGCCTGTGAACCAAAAGGCTGCCTGTTCAATTCCCAGTCAGGGCACAGGCCTGGGTTGCAGGCCAGGTCCCCAGTAGGGGACACTCGACAGAAAACCACACACTGATGCTTCTCTCATTCTCTTTCTCCTTCCCTGCCCTTTCTTAAAAATAACTAAATAAAATCTTTTTAAAAAAATAAATAAAACTGTTCATCAAAAGACAAAAGCCCTGGCTGGTGCGGCTCAGTGGATCGAGCAACGGCCTGTGAACCAAAAGGTCACTGGTTTGATTTCCAGTCAAGGCACATGCCTGACGTGTGGGCCACATCTCCAGCTAGGGGCGTGCAAGAGGCAACTGATGGATGTATCTCTCACACATCGATGTTTCTCTCCCTCTCTCCCTTCCTTCCCCTCTCTCTAAAAACAAAAAATAAAATATTTTTTTAAAAGATAACATTTTTTAAAGCCACAGGCTTAGGAAAAGAACACTTACAACACATACATCTAACAAAGGACTCATACCCAGAATACAAGATGCTCTACAACTCAATAAAGACAAGCAACCCATTAAAAACCGCCCAAAGGCTTAAACTAGTACCTCATAAAATAAGATACACAAATGGCCACTAAACACATGAGAAGTTGCTCAACGTCATTATTTATTAGTGAAAGGCAAAATTTAAACCACAGTGGGATCCCACAACATATCCACTAAAGATGACTAAAACATAAAGAAAAAAAAATGAGAACCCAATGTTGGCAAGCTGAAAGAACCGACTTGGAAATCTGTGTGGCTGATTCTGACAACATCAAGCACACACGCACACCTACTCCATGACTCGGCCATCCCAGCCCTAGGTATCTACACAGCAGAAATGAAAGTGCGTGACCACAAGCCTTGTACAGCAACATCACAGCGCCTGCAGCACGATGATCACAGAGCCAAACCCAGGAAACACGGCAAACGTCTACAAACAGAAGGGTGAACTTCGAGTATACTCATAAAATGACACTGTTAAACAATGAAAAGCAAAGAACTAATTAATGACACATGCATTGATGTGGATATATCTTTATTTTTTCAATTACAGTCATTATTGTTTTGTATTTATTTCAGGCGGGACAGGGTTATGTCTTACAGATGTCATGTTGAGCAAGGCAGGCCAAACACAAAACAAAACATACTGTATAATCCATGTCTATGAAGTTTTAAAACACGCAGAACTAACGGACAGGGATAGAAATCAGAACAGAGTTTGCCTCTGGGGCTCGAGAGTCACTAGGAAGATGCACAGGGACTTTCCGGGGAGCTGGAAGTGTTCGGCACCTCGATGGCGTGTAGGTCATGGGACACATCCATTTGTCAAAATCCATTTGACTGCCCGGGTAGGATTTCTTCATTTGATTGCACATAAATTATACCTTGATTATTTT